CTTGCCCTCTCCTGGGTATCTTCAAGCCCAGCACAAGTAGCAGCCATCTGTATATTGCTCTGTAGCTCATGCCAGGTGGCCCAGGGAGGGCACAGGCAGTGGCTGGCCTTGGCCTACACCACGTGGGGGGCACCAGGGCAAGAGCTTCAGACCATGCAGGATTACAACTCAACTACCTCCATGAACAACAGACTGAAGGGGTGGACTCAGCAAGCGCCAAAGCCCAACTGAAGCAAGTCCTATCTGTGGGGTCGGCCCTTGCACAGCAGCTCCACCACTGTAGTCACAGTCAGTCCTCACAGCCAATTGCCTGGGTGCATGGAGGTCAATTTCTCCCAGTGATGGGCCAACAACAATCGAGTCGCAACTACACCAGAAGAATATACACAGCCCACACAGGGTGTGGGGGCACACCTGGAGTCCCCAGCTCAGATGACTGGGGAGTCTGACCCACTGGGCCTTACAGGACACTTATGGTGTAAAGTCTCTCTGCCAGGACCAGGAGACATAGCAGCTCTACCTAATACATAGAAACAAACACAGAGAGGTTGCCAAAATGAGGATACAAAGAAACAGGTCCCAAATTATAGAATAGGAGAAATCTCCAGAAAAAGACCTAAATGAAACAGAGGAAAGCAAACTACCAGGTATAGAGTTCAAAATAATGGTTATAATGATGCTCAAGGAACTTAGGGAAAAAGTAGATGAACTTAGAACTTCAATAAAGAGATAGGAAACATAAAAATGTCGGTAGAAAATATAAAAAAGAGCACTGGCCAGGTAGCTCATTAGTTGGAGCATCATCCCATGCACCAAAAAGTCTCAGGTTCGATTCCTGGTCAGGGCACATGCCTAGGTTGCAGATTTGGTCCATAGTTGGGGTATGTACAAGAGACAGCTGATCAATGTTTCTTTCTCTCTCTCTCTCTCCTTTCCTCTCTCTAAAATCAGTGAATGGTCCAGCTGGTGTGGCTCGGTGGTTGAGCATCTACCCATGTACCAAGAAGCCGCTGGTTTGATTCCTGGTCAGGGCACATGCTCAGGTTGCAGGATCGATCCCCAGTAGGAAGTGTGCAGGAGGCAGCTGATCAATGTTGATGTTTCTCTCTCATCAGTGTTTCTATCTCTCCCTCTCCCATTCCTCTCTCTCTAAAAACTCAATAAAAACATATTTTTAAAATAACTAAGATAAAATTAGTGAATGTATCTTTGGGTGAGGATTAAGGAAAAATAAAGAACTAGTCAGAAATAAATAATACAATAAATAAAATGAAGAATACATTACAGGGAATCAACAGTAGATAAAGCAGAGGATCAAGTCAGTGGTTTGGAAGATAAGAAAGCAGGAAATACACAATCAGAACAGCAAAAAGAAAAAAAGAATCCAAATAAAGTAAAAATAGTATAAGGAGCCTCTGGGACTTCAAGCATATCAATATTTGTATCACGGGGGTGCCAAAAAGAGAAGAAAGAGAGCAAGAAATTGAAAACCTATTTGAAAAAATGATGATGGAAAACTTCCTCAACCTAGTGAAGAAAGTAGACATACAAGTCCAGGAAACACAGAGTCCCAAACAAGAGGAACCCAAAGAGGGCCACACCAAGACACATCATAATTAAAATGCCAAAGGTTAAAGGCAAAGAGAGAATCTTAAAAGCAGCAAAAGAAAAGCAGTTAGTTACCTACAAGGGAGCTTCCATAAAGTTGTCAGCTGATTTCTCAATGGAAACTTTACAGGCCAGAAGGGATTGACATGAAATAATCAAAATGATGAAAAACAAGGACTTACAATCAAGGTTACTTTACCCAGCAAAGCTATCATTTAGAACCAAAAGACATATATAGAGCTTCTCAGACAAGAAAAAGCTAAAGGAGTTTATTACCACCAAACCAGTATTATAAGAAATGTTAAAGGGTATTCTTTAAACAGAATAAGGGGAAAAAAGATTTTAAAAATATGAACAATAAAATGGCAATAAATACATATCTGTCAACAATTGCTTTAAATGTAAATGGATTAAATGCTCCAATCAAAAGACATAGGGCGGCTAAATGGATAACAAACAAGATTCTTACATATGCTGTCTACAAGAGACTCACTTCAGATCAAAAGACATACGCAGACTGAAAGTAGAGGGATGGGAAGTGATATTTATGGGGGGGGGAAAATAATCTGGAATAGCAATACTTATGCCAGACAAAATAGACTTTAAAACAAAGGCTATAACAAAAGATAAAAAAGAACCCAACAATTATACTTCTGTTTATTTATTCAAAGAAACCCAAAACACTAAATTGAAAAGACATCTGGATCCCTATGTTCACTTCATCATTATTTACAATAGCCAAGATATGGAAGCAACATAAGTGTCCATCAATAGATGAATGGATAAAGATATATTGTATATATACAATAAAATATGACTCAGCCATAAAAAAAAGAAATCTTGCCATCTGCAACAACATGGATGAACCTAGAGGGTAGTGTGCTCAGTAAAATAGGGCAGACAGAGAAAGACAAATACCATATGATTTCACTTATATGTGGAATCTAAAAACCAAAATAAATGAACAAGCAGACCTAAAACAGACTCACAGATATAGAGAATATTTTGATGGTTGCAAGATGGGGGGCCTAGGAAGGAGGAGTGAAAAAGGGGGAGAGATTAAAAAGTATAAACTGCCAGTTATAAAGAGTCACGGGGATGTAAAGTACAGCATAGGAAATATAGTCAATAATACTCTAGTAACTATGTATGGTGTCTAATGGGTAGTTGATTTATTGGAGTGATCACTTCATCTAAGTTATATAAATGTCTAATCCCTGGGATGTACACCTGAAACTAATACACTATTGTACATCAACTTTAATAGAAAAATAAAAATCAGTTTTTAAAAAGGGTGAATAAGGAAGCCAAGTTTTTCTACTGATGAGCAGAAAATATTTGTGAATCATATATTCAGAATATATAAAGAATTCTCTAAACCCAACAGTAAGAAAATTAATAATCCAATTAGAAAATGGACGGAAGACTTAGACAATCAATGCTGATAGCAAACAAACATATGAGAAAATGTTCAGCATTGGTCATTAGGGAAATACAAATTAAAACTACAATGAGCTCGGCTGGCATGGCTCAGTGGATGAGCATCGACCTAGGATCCAGGAGACTGAGGTTCAATTCCTGGTCAGGGCACATGCCCGGGTTGCGGGCTTGATCCCCAGTGGGGTGTGTGCAGGAGGCAGCGAATCAATGACTCTCTTATCATTGATGTTTCTATCTCTCTGGCCCTCTCCCTTCCTCTCTCTGAAATCAATAAAGACATATTTTTTTTAAAAAAAATACAATGAGATACCACCACACAACTATCAGAATGGTTAAAATAAAAAAAAAATACTGACAGTACCAAATGCTGACAAAGGTGTAAAGAAACTGAATCTGTCTGGTGGGAATATAAAATAGTAAAGCCACTCTGGAAAATTGTTTGACTTTTTTAAAAGTTAAACATACATATGGCCTAGTAACTGGACTCTCGGCATGTATCTTAGAGAAAGAAAACATATGTGTGCACAAAAATCTGTGCACAAATTTTCACAGTAGCTTTATTTGTAATAGCCCCAAACTGGAAACAACCCAAATGTCTTTCAATGGGTGAGTGGTTAAATAAACTGTGGAACATCTGTATCGTAGAATACTACTTAGTTATCCAAAGAAACTATTGACATACACAACCTGGATCTAACTCAAGAGCATTATGTTGAGTAGAAAAAGCCAATCTCAAAAGTTTACATATATGATAATTCCATTTATATGACATTCTCAAAGTGAAAATAAAATTATAGAGATGGAGAACAGATCAGTGGTTGCCAGGAGTTAGGGAAGGGAGGTGTGTGTGGTTAAAAAGAGGGCAGTAGGAAGGGATTACTTCGTGGTGACAAAACAGTTTTACATCTTGATTGTTGTGATTCAGGGGATAAAAGGTCATAGAACTCTGCACACAGACTCACACAAACAGAAAAGAGAGAGAGAGAGAGAAAGGCTTACATGCAAAGACAAGGGAAATCCAATTAAGGTCTGTAGGTTAGTTAATTGTATTGCATCAATGTCAATTTCCTAGTTTTGGCAATGTACTACAGTTACAACAATAGTTCTCGTTGAGGGAAGCTGGTGAAGGACACAAAGGACCTCTATGTATAAGTTCTTGTGACTCAATAATTATTGCAAAATAAAAGCTTAAAAAAGGATGTCTTGTTTTTTAATTTTCTTTGTTGTTTTGGGATGATTTTTGAAAGGAAAAAGGGAATAAAATGTGTTTACTCCACCATCTCCGAAACTCCTCATTATTGTTTATAAATAGTATAGCCCATACTTCATTAACTTTCAAAAATAAACAATTTTGTGGCCATATTTTTCTGATCCATAAAATATTGAGTAGTAATATTTTTAACTGCTTGGGCTATGTTAATTTTTATAAAAATTCAAAAGGTACTATTACCAATTTGTTTAAGTCTTGGGTATCACTCCACAATTTTCTATGGATCACAATGTTTATTACTAGTACTGTTACTGCACTAGGAGGGGCATTTGTGGAGTCATTCATCACAGGCAGGGAGTGGCAACTAGGGACAAGAGGAGGCATCTCATTTGTGGTACCCTGTGATGGATTTGATATGATCAGATTCATGATCTTCTCCTTTTTCATATTAACACCCATAAAGACAAGCCACACTTTGTTATTTAGTGTGGATGCAACAATATTTTGTGGTATTAGATACACACACATACACACACAATGCATGAGACTGAGGGTTGACTAGCTAATTACTGCTCTGAGATTAAACTCGAAGAACACTGTCTTATTTAATGTGCTTTAAATTTCTTTTAATATAATTGCAGTACATAATTGTTATAAAATATTCAAGCAACACAAATGAAGCAGTAGATGAAGTAGGTTATTCATTTTTTGTTGGTTTGTTTCTCTAAAGAGAGCAACTTACCTCACTGCTGCTGATGCTTTGCAAGAGTATATTATGGTTTTTAGTAACTGTCATATCAGTTGGAGAAGAGTTTGTATCGTGACAAATGTCAAGAAATGATTCAGTATGTCTTTCTGCCAAAAGAAACATAATAACGTGTTTTGATAACACTCATCTCCGGCAATTTCACAGGAGAATTTAGCTCTTGGTTCTAAAATCAGTTCCATTTTGTCAAAGATTTTCCTGAAATAGTGGTCTGGGATCCTGATGCATTTCAGGGGATAATTTTCACAGGAAGAGATGCGAGGACAAGAGTCCACAGAATGAATGGGGTTTTGTTTGATTTTTAAAAACTAGACAAAGCTGCTATGTGAAACCCCGAACAAGGGGCTGGAAATTGCATTTGCTCTATAGTCACCAAAGATAAAAACATTTAGCTACTCTGAGCACACATCCCGTCTAGTACTGAATCCACATTAAACTGACACGGTTTGAACACCAGTGAACTCCCAGGTAGCTCCTGAGGGACACTGTTCTGATTCATGCCCCTCCTGCTAGCCTGCCTTCCTCAAATAAGCATGGGCTTTTCAATGAAAACTTATTCTGGTTCCAATGGCTCTTCCATTTATCTTGTATCTGAAACAAAATTGAACAAGTGATCCATACTCAGACCCTCTATTTCTTCATCACATTTTTCTTCTTAACTCTTTGCAATCTATCTTCTGCCTCTATCCTGCTATTGAAACTTCTCCCTTCCTTACCATACCTGCCTTGTAACCTCTTTTCTAATTTGATGTTGTTTCCATTTATTCCTCTTGCAACTCTCTCCCAATTCTCCTCCACCCCCCTCACTCCCTTGAGACCCTATGTGCACAACACTCCCTAACTGTGGGTACACCTCCTCGGCTCAGTACCCCCAATTTTTTCACCGTCATTAATCTGTCAATGATTTTGTCCACTTTCAGGTTCTCACAGTCTCCTTTGTGTAGACATCTCCCAGACTAACATATCAACCCATCTTTCCCAGAAGCACTGTCCTACAGAAAATTGCTACTTGAAAGTGCCGAGGTTCCGTCAATACAGTGTTTGAGAACACATTACCTTTAATATCCTCACCAAACCACCCTTCTTCTAGTTTGTTGATTATATTTCCATCTTCCCACGTCCCATGGCTGAAACTCCGGAATTATGTTTGACTCAACTCTTTCTCAACTTTTGTCTTTGTGTCTCCTCTATCAACTTTACATCACTAGGTTCTGTGAATTCTTCTTTCACAATATCTATTAAACTCACCACACCCAGCACCTCTCAGACCTCCTGCCACACCTTGCCCACGGATTCTTTCCCTGGCTCTTACCACCATATGCGGACACTTCCATACTTTCTTAATAGAGCTCCCTGCCACAAGTCTCTTTCTTTGCACCCATCCTACACAATAAGAACAGGTTAATTTTCCTAAAACATGGCTTTCATCATTCTCTGGTTCAACTTCTTTAGTGAATCTATTTTATTGGAAAAAATTATATCAGCTTTACTTTTAATGGGTCCTCAATGGACCCAGTGTCTTTATGTATCTGACGTTATGCGTTCCTTTTCCCTGACATGAACTTTCGGTTCTAGTCTCCCATTTGGTCCTGGGATAACCATGCTCCCTTACAGCATGGTGCCTCTGCTCCACAAAATCACATCCCATCGTTTTTCAAGGACCAGGCTGAGTCTCACCTCTTCCATGAAACCCTCTTAGGTATACCCTTGCTTCCTGCCCAGAAGCTTCAAACAAAAAGCCAATTAAACAATAAAGTCAAGCAGGTTTCACAAAGTCGTATGTTACTCAGTAGCATTTTTTTTCATTTTGCCTTTCGCTATGTCTTTGCTCGGACTCTCTTTCCCTGTCTCTATCAAGCCTTCTCTTTTTTCTTCCTACCATATCTCATCCAGCATTCAAGAACCACCGTAAGTCCCTCTTCCCCTTTCAAGTTCACAATAAGTTCTTTCTCCTCTGACTTATATGATGTGTCTCTGACCACTTTCAAAGGGCTTGTTTGCATCCCTCAGAGAACCTGGTCATGGGCTTTCAGTCACTGCTCAATAAATAATTGTTGGCTAGATTTCTTTAAATGGACCATCAAATACATGTAGAAAAAGAAAGATTCGTAGTAGGGCTCTTATAGTTGGGAACATTTGAAAGTGAAATAAAAATATTTACCTGGTTTGGGCATTGAATTCATCAGAATGTCCAATAACTGCTGTTTCTTAAAACTCTTTACTTGTGACACATAATGTATTGCTGATTTTCCACTAAAGTCACAGAGTTTGGGATCTCTAGGAGGAATAGAATCAACACAAAGATTATTAGTTAAATCTGTAGAAAAAGAAAACGAATATGGAAGGAGAAACATTGACACATCAAATAAATGAAAATAATCTTATGTAGTTTGGGGATGACAATAATGACTTCAAAATGTATGAGGTAGTGACAATTTTTCTAGAAACACTCTAATATTTGTGGAAAAAGTTTTGGACAAAAACTTTCATAATTCTTCAGTGAGGTATAAATTAAGTAAAGATAAAACATCCTGATAAACCATTGTCCTATCATTCCAAACAGTTGACTTGACTTTTTCTTTCCAGTGTCTTAGCTAACTGCTTACTTTCTTGATATATCTTTTTTTCTAAGGCTAACACCTAATTTTTATCATTCAAAATAGTAGAATCTCTCTTTAAAATTAAGCTGATATGCTTACTTCATAGGCTCTTGTTTGAGTGGAGAGATCTTGTCATAAAACCCTGCTCTGCATGGTCTTTTCATTTCTCTTTGCTTTGCCCTGTGGTGGTTAAGCCCAACTGGCTGATCTTAGGGCTCCTTGCAACAGCACTAATATCCTCTCTATGCTGCACTTAATCTAGACATCAGCTCAGAGAGACCCAGAGGGTAAATGATGAGAACCGGATCAACAGGTTATGGTGAGGAAACAATGGTAAAACTTCACTCGTCATGTTCTGGGACAAGGAGAGAGTTGAGCATGGTCTCCGGCCTAACACCTTCGAATTTGAACCTGTTGTTATGGGACTGGGTATTGTTTTATGATACGAAACAATATTCTATTATGGCCTTTTCTCCACTAAGGTCACGATTCAAGAGAAATAGCATAAGATCAAGGATCAGGAAACTGCCACTACCTTGATATGTGGCCTTAAGCAAGTCACTTTACTTGTTGGGACCTCAGTTTGTTCATCTGCCTGGATAGTGTTTCTCTGTGTGGCATCATTTAATCTCCTGTATTCTGGACCCCACTTCAGGACTACTGAGCACCATCTCTGGGGTGGTATCCAATCTCCTCAGCTGTTCCTCAACACTAAATTCTGAGGTAGCTTCAAACTTCCATCTTCAACCTCTTATACTAACTGATACTTTTACAATAGCTCACATTCCAGATTATACTTTTCTTTTTTAAGCTCCCTCCCCAAAACAAAATCCATATGAAAAAGCTTGGGCCATGTGTTCTTATTTGATGACAAAATATCTAGGTAACAAACAGCATCAGGAAACCAATCCTAGCATGGGAGGCTACTTGTTAACCCTCTGATTTTTTAAAAGTTAATTGTTTACTTGTCCCCTCCTAAAAGAGCATGTTAGCATATAGTAATTTTTAGATTACTGGAAATCACTACTATAAATCCTTTTGATAATGGACAATGCTTTCCAAAATAATTAATAACACACTGGAGGTAGGAAGCTATATACTAAAGAATCATCTGACATGCCCAGTAACTATGAAAAGAGTAAGTATTTAAACAAATAAAACAAAGGACCAATGTAATAAGAATAATAGATAGCAACATCCAACATCCGTACATCACTTTGCAACTGCAAAGTCCCTTTTATGAACACCCATGTGCATTTAGTATATGTAATTTGAACAATCTAAATGACTTCTGTAAATAAGAATGGCATCTATGCCTTTCCATAGGTGATGACAGACCACTCATACTCACGCACGATGCCTGAGGAGCTCAGTCAGAACCTCCACAGGACTGTAGGCTGTTAGCATATCAAGACTCTCAAACAGGTCCACGTCTCTCACAGCCAGCATCAGAGGGGTCAGGCCATGTTGGTTGGGGAAATTTACATCCAGGAACTCTTCAGATGCCTTTAAAAACATGAAACTTTATTTCCTTTATGTTTTTCTGAATGTTTATTATACTAATCTTTGCATTTTCATTGGTTGACCAAATTCTTATTTTAACTTCAGTATATTTGAGAGGGAGTTGATGAATTGAAAGAACACAGCCTGAGAGGCAGACAGCCCTGGGTTTGAATTTTAGCTTGAGTTGGTTATTTAACCTCCCTGATAGGGTTCTATCAAGGACACTCTATTAAAAGGTGATTAAATCACACTGATAAAATAAGGGACACCACCAGTTACACAATGAATCATTTTCATTTGGGACATAATTATACTACAAAATTGATATTTATCTAAAATTCAAATTTAACTGAGTGCCCTGTGTTCTTATTTGCAAAACTGGCAACCCTCCTCACTGGCCTTTAGAGCCCTTAGCTATAAAGCAGCAATAACAGTGTGTTCCCTGCAGGGCTGTTTTAACGACTGGAGAGCAGAGTGTCTGACAGAGGCTCAATAACATTTGTGGAATGAATGGCTGATTTACAATAATAAGGTCTCTCATTTAACTGTATTTATATAATCAAATGGAGGCTATATAAATGTTGTTTTAATGTCTTAATTAAATTTTAAATTTGGATAATTCAAAACTGAAAAGCTACTGGAAGGCCAAATTATCCAAATTGTTTATTTCATAGACCAAAGTAACTCACTCATTTTCATCTTATTTCACTTTATGCCATGTTAATATAGTCAGCGTCTCTACCTCAGTTCCTCCAGGGACAAACTAGAGATAATGATATTACCTCAGAGTGGTGTTGTGGGAATTAGTTAACTTTTTTTCAGTCTCTGAAAAGAAACCACCTCTTATATCAATGTTTATTATTAGTTAGAACCAACATGAAAATTTTGAGCTGAGACAAGTCTTACAGCAGCATATTAATTCAGCATCTGCTGCTTAAACTCAGGATCCAGTTATAGGCACCAGTTTCTTAAAACTCGGTTGCCAATCTTTAGGGGTGAAAACTGTGGTCACAAAAACAGACACTAGATTACAACTGTTGCAAATACCATTAAGATAAAATGTACTGTCTTTCAAAAAGAATTCTAAGCCAGAATTCATGACGTATGGCAATTTTAGACTATCATTTAATTCAACAAAAAATGTAGAGTCCTTTGGATATTGTTGTATATTTTCTTGAACTCTAGGTGACTAGAATGTCATTCACTTTTTCTTTATCTGTTTGTGTCTCTACCATAAGGGAATGGAAGAAACTGTTTCCTAGCAGCAATTGATTTTCTTTCAGTCAAAAGGTGATGTGATCTGACGGTATCTCTGAAGGTAAATGCCCTCAGTTATGCATATGGTTTTGCAAGTTACATTGGGAAAGAATATCTACGGGTAGAAAATCTAACCAAGAAGATCAATACCCTATGAAGACAGCATTTTAAAAATGTATCATCTTAACTCCTTTAGTCACAACTAAATACTATGCAAAGCTAGGCTCTCAGATTCCCTTTTCTGGATAAAGATAATAACTGCAACTAGTCCAAAGGGATCTAAGCAGCAATTGTACAAACGGCAATGATGTCAAGGGAATGCATCTGAGCAAGCTGACAGCTCTCCAGGGGCATCCTGGGACCACATCATTTCCCAGAGGTGTTGCATCCAGAGCAGGAAGGTGGAAATAGGCTGTTGCTTTGTTCTTTTATTACATTATTTTTCAACCCAGTGTCATGTTTGATCCTGTTTCTTTCTCATATTTCCTGCCTGAAACTTCCTGGGGCTGTATTTGCAAAGAACTGATTTCTCTTTAAAAGGAGTTATATGTAGCCTGTGCCCTTCTTACCACCCACCCACCCACCTACCCGAAGGCAGAAGCAAACATCAATTTGACTGACCAACAATTGTTGAAGTTGTTCTAGATCACCTTGCCATGAACTTTGTAGAAGTTGCATTTGGGGAGCTTGGATTTCATTGATGGCCAAGAGCTGTCTTTGGACATCACAATTAGCCACATGGACCGCAGTTTGATGCTTGTAATTGCAAAGGGTGATATCTGCTCCCTTTTCCAGAAGAAACCCAACAACCTGCAACACCACAACATTCTCATTTAGCATTTTTCAGGGCCAATAGTGTTTTCGGGGCTGAGTGGAAAACTTACTTAAATGTGGCTTTGATTCATGATATAGGAAAGGAGACTAAGAGGGGCATAAAAATGAAGAACTGATTTGGAAGTAGGTGATTGTATTTGCCTTTTGTAAATTTGGGAAACAAAAATCTCCATAATGTGGATGGTTTGAGGATACTACAGTTTTTTTAAACTAACGGTCTGTGAGTATTTCATGTCCAGATAAAACATTCAAGTCTTATTAGTATCATCTGTAGTTTTAGAATATCAAACCCCAAAATTCAGGCTTATAGATTATTGAATGTTTCAAGTATTTCTAGGTAGAGAACAAGCTCCAATTATGGTGAAGGCATCATTTACTCAACAAATATGGATTGAGGGAGTGACTAGCATGTGTGTCAAGAACTGTTCTTGGTGCTGAGACCTCAACAATGAATAGACAGATGACCAGCCTTTAAGGCATTTGCAATCTAGTGAGGAACAGAGACAAATAAAAAGATAATTACAACACAGTGTGATATACGCAATGTTAGGGTAAATACAGGAAGCAGAGGGGGGCACTTAGAAGAAACCTGTTAAGCTGTCTTAGAGGGGCTGGAAGACTTCCTGGAGAAAGTACTGTCTAAGTTGAGAACTGTGGAAACAGACTCAACTGACTAGGCAGAGACTGCTGGGAAAGATTGTTTCAAGCAAAGGATATAGTGTGAACAAAGTACTGTGAATGCTATGAACAGAATTCTGTCACCTAAAAATCCATATGTTGAAGCCCTAACCTGCAATGTGATTGTATTTGGAGAGAGAGCCTTTAAGAAGTAATTAAGGTTAAATAAGTTTGTAAGGAGCGGGCCCTGATATGACAGGCTTAGCGTCCTTATAAGAAGAGACATCATCTCTCCCTCTCCCTCTCCTCATTTCCTTGAAGATTATAATTCTAATTCCTAAAAAGGGGTTGGTAAGGCCTTTCAAGTTAGC